ATTAACCTAGTTAAGCCTTTAAATGTCACTTTAAGCTGTACAGAAGTGTCTTGAAAATTATCTAGTCAAATATTATTTATTGTCATTATGGCAGAGATAAAATAAATCAGTTATTAGAAATGAGTTATTAAAACTATTATGTTTAGAAATGTGTTAAAAAAAATCTTCTTTCCGTTGACAGAAATTGGGGAAAAAAAATAAACAGGGGGGCCAATAATTCAGGGGGGCTAATAATTCTGACTTCAACTGTATATTTATGGCGACACGGTGGCGCAGTGGGTAGCATGTTCGCCTCACAGCAAGAAGGTTGCTTGTTCCAGCCTCGGCTGGGTCATTTGGCATTTCTGTGTCCAAAGACATGTGGTACAGGTGAATTGGGTATGCTAAAATTGACCGTAGTGTAAAAGTGTGTGTGCGAATGAGTATGTTTGGATGTTTCCCAGTGATGGGTTGCGGCTGTAGGGGCATCCGTCATGCAAAAAACTTATGCTGGATAAGTTGGCGGTTCATTCTGCTGTGGCGACCCCAAATAAATTAAGGGAATAAGCCAAAAAGAAAATGAATAAATTATATGTATACAATTAAGGCAGTTATCAATATTAATTAGTGTTTTTTATGTAATTATTTATGTATTTATTTATTTATTTATTACATTTTTTTATTATGCAATTGGATTAATTTGAGCTTTATTTTATTAAATGAATTCATACATAGAGGTACTAATGTGGATAATAAGCTGTTCATGGCACTATATCAATATTAACTTAAAGACAGCAAAAATGCAATGATCCAACTAAAATGCATGAACAAGAAAAGTTAAGTGGAGCCAGGGGCACAAAAAGGTCTCACCCTTTAGCAAATTTGACATGCTTTTCTACCACCGTCTATTATATAATCAAATTTATGCCACACAAGGCTCAGAAACCTTTCCCATTTCATACTCCCTTCTAATCCCTGTCGATAAGACAACTCGCATACCACTTTCATTATGCTGTCATTTCAGAACTGCCATGAAATACCCCTCGGGATGCTATCAGTCAGTAAAATACTTACTGGAAGTGGATACAGTTTTTACATTTATTATTTTGGAAGCCAAAAAAAAAAAAAAACCCCCACAAATATTCCATTCTGTTCTCAAAGTTGCTTGAGGGGTAGAGAGCATGTCTGTTTTCTGACCAACACACTAATGGCTTATACTCACAGACACCAGATAACTAGCAGGAAGACAGAGAGATCCTTCCCAATAAGCATATGTGTATTGTGAAATACTTAAACAAACAGCAAAGCGTAAGTAAATGTATGGATAAAACTGCTGACCACCGTAAATGACAGGAATGGTAAAAGTTTTGATGTGACATACTTAAAACTATTTTAAGATACATAAAATCTTTTAAGTACAGTGATGTAAGGAATTGTTGCAGATGGATGTCCTGTGATTTGTAAATTTAGAAATGTATTTAATACTATATTCATATTGATTTATTATTGTTATTATTATTATTATTATTATTATTATTATTATTAGTTTAACTATTAAAAAATGCTACCAGGCTTAGACAAGTCACATTTATTTTTGGTGCTTTATTCTAAACAGATTGTTTCAAAGCAGTTCACAGGAAAACAAAATTCAAGTATAAAAAAAAAAATCATCAAATATGGCTACAGTTGTTGGGCGGTTTGAAACATTTACAATAAAGATAATTGTTTTAACAATTAATATTGTTTTATGAGAGTGTACTTATTGACTGAATTCTCATCATTAACAAAAGTTGCTTCAGTGATGACAATGCAACATTTTGCTTATCCTTTATAAATACAAAGTTCTGTAAAGTTGGTTGTCATTGATTAATATTTTTAAATAGTCTTAAGGACTGAACTAATTTGTTCATTTATATTTGGTAGTTAGAAAATTGCACTAGTAAAAATGCCCCTGGAAATCAATTCCAAGGGTCAAATATTGAGCCTTACTTAAAAAGGAAATTCCTGAACCTTCTGATGTTATGCAGAACCATTTAAGTCATTCATAGTTTTTTATATAAACAACAAATTTTTAACTCATTACACAAGATTTAAAAGTTTCAAATTTAAAATTTAAAAAATTTGTCCTTTATTTTTTACTCTTAAATGTCACTGGCCTATGGCTTGATTGGTTGGTAAGTTTCTCTGTCTGTTAACTTTGCATATTAAAATCTGCACTTTCCGAAAAGTAAATGTGTGTTTTTCTCATACAGTGCACAGTGAAATCACAATTATTGTATATACACAGTCCCAGGATGTGCATAGTGTCAGTGTGTGTCAGTTCTATAGTCTAATTCTTGTTTAATTGGGGTGAGATCATGGGCTCAAGTGGGGGTACCTGTACCCTATTCTTTCACTTTCTTTCACTTTGACACCACTGCTGTTTTTGATGTGTGCTTTGGCTCTTCGAGGCCAACTTTGGAGTATGTTCTTGGGAGACCAATGGTTACTTGCCTGCAGGCAAAATCTCAATCCCGGGATCTGGCTCCTCTTTGATGGAGTGCTTTCGGGAGCAGCAAACCACCCCCAATCCCCACTCTGCTTTACCCCTCCTCCTGTTCTTCCTCTTCTTCATATCCCACATCCATCTATCTCAGAGATATTCACAAAGAGAACTGACTGACTGCCTACATCTCTATATCAGTTTCTCCATCTCCAGTAGAAGGGATGATAACGAGTTACAAATATGAAAAGGTGTCTTGTATTACTCATGTCCAGACCAGACATAAATCAGCCATCTGCTTTTAAACATGCTATTTTATTTAAATAAAAAGCACCTTTGGATTAAAAAATAATTTAACATTTAAATAATAAAATAATAATAATAATAATAATAATAATAATAAAAACTTTAATTAAATTATGTATTTTAGACTAAATTAAAATTTAGACTACACATTACAAAAAAAAGAAACTTTCAGGACATGCATCTATTGTATTAAGACATAAAGACTTATGACAACAACATTAACATTAAAAAATCAGAGCAAACATTACTACCTTGTATGCTCTAATGTCTACTGGACTTGGGTTCCCCCAATTTCTGTTTAATGGAGAGAAGATTTTTTCAACACATTTCTAAACATAATAGTTTTAATAACTCATTTCTAATAACTGATTTATTTTATCTTTGTCATGATGACAGTAAATATTATTTTACTAGATATTTTTCAAGACACTTCTATACAGTTTAAAGTGACATTTAAAAGCTTAATGAGGTTAATTAGGTTAACTAGGCAGGTTAGGGTAATTAGGCAAGTTATGGTATAACTATGGTTTTAAAAAATATAGCTTAAAGGGGCTCTAAATTTTTACCTTAAAATGGATTTAAAAATGTTTAAAACTGCTTTCGGTCTAGCCAAAAATAAAACAACTAAGACTACGAAAGAAAAAATATTACCAGACATACTGTGAAAATTTTCTTGCTCTGTTAAACATAGTTTGGGAAAATGTTTAAAAAAAGAAAAAGATTTCAAAGGGGCCTAATAAATCTGACTTCAAAATTTAATGTAATGTAAATATAATAATATATGTATTGTAAATATAGTTTATTTTACAATTATCTTTAAGGTTTTTAACCTCTCTTATTGGATCACCTTTGATGAATCAAACTTGGGTCATCGTGAGCACCTTGGCACTATACAGGGTGTGTCAATGCACCATTAACCACTTGGTTATTGGTGGCGACAAATGTATATAGTTACTCTTAATAGTTAATATTGTTCTCATAAGTATGGCCTGCAATGTAAGCTGGTTGAAGTAAAATAAAACTGATTTAATACAATAGATGCATGTCTTAAAAAAATATCTCAGAGATTTATACAAACAGTAACTGACTGATTGTGATTGATTTGTTTTTTTATATTGATTAGGAATCAAGACCCCCACCTTGTGCTCCCACCTACTGTATAAATTGTCAGAGATTATTCATTCATTTTCTTTTCGGCTTAGTCCCTTTATTAATCTGTGGTCATTACAGCGGACTGAACTGGCAAATTATCCAGCACATGTTCTATGCAGCGGATGCCCTTCCAGCTGCAACCCATAACGCAGAAACACCCATACACACTCATTCACACACATACACTACAGACAATTTTAACTTACCCAATTAACCTGGTCTGCATGTCTTTGGACTTGTGGAGGAAACCGAAGCATTCGGAGGAAACCCACATAGCTCGGGGAGAACATGCAAACTCCACACAGAAATGCCACTGACCCAAAGCTCGAACCAGCGACCTTCTAGCTGTGAGGCGACAGCACTACCTACTGCGCCATAGCGTCACCCTGTCAGAGATGATAAAATATTTAAACATTTGAAAATATTTATTTATAAAATGTAGATTTCTATTTTTTTTGGGGGGAAAGGAACATTTGTTTCAAAGCATGATTTATGTTAAATGTAAAAAAAAAAACATTAATAAAAACTTAAACACCCTCTGTTTCGCAACAATGCAACTTTCTTTATTTCCACTAACTTACCTTAAAAGCAACAAAAGTGTTTCACAATCAGAGTGCTTTAAAAGTGTTTTACAATATGATCCAATGGTAAGTACATCATACCAAACGATTACTATAACCCTCAAAGCTTCTTACTGAATGTTTGCTACAACATCACTGTATACAGTATTTTAGCAAATTATGTGGAGAAATTTTTTGAAACTAAATTGTAACAGGTTTATGGGTTTCCCATGAATTCATTTTATAATATATATTCCTTATTTATGTAAACTTTGAATGTTTGCTCGGATCACTGTCACACATGTTCAAGTACAAAAACAAAAAAGAAGAGAGGAAGCAGTATGTAATAGCCTAAACATGCACGCCAATGTATTTGTAAAGTAATCGTTTCAGACAGCACGTTTTCGGGAAGAAAGCTGGGATAAGGCGAGGAGAGAGGGAGGGAAAAAAGGGGGCAGAAGGAAAAAGAGGGGAGGTAGTGTGTCTGCTTTCTGAAAGGGAGGAGTCAGAAACCGGGAGAGGGCAGCAGGAGCTACACACTTCAAATTTTTTTTTTTTCCCGAGAACCTTAAATTACAGCCTTAACCACCATAAACATTTAGGAGTTTTACGGTTCGCTGTACTTTTGTGTATAGACTTAGAGATATGTAGATTATGTGTTACTGCGCTTTTCCTGCCAAACGCACACACTTTCCAGAAGGGAAAACGGAGAAATAAATAAAAAACAAAAACAAAACAACAAAAAAGTTCGCAGACCAATTTTTGGAGTTTAAAGTAAAGAGGCTAGCATTCTCTGCATCAAGCATCTGCGTACGGGCGAGAAGGACGTCTGCGAAGAGAGGACAGAAAAGTTTCACAACAACGAGTAAGTGCAAGTAATGTGAACCTCTTTGGCTCCATGAAAGTTTTGCAAATGAAAGAAAATCGTCACGGTAAATGCGAAATGCAATACTTTCTGTTCGTTTGGAACATTTGTTAGGGCAAATAAAAGAAGCTAGAGAGTTTAATTGGCCGCGGCGAGCTGTTATTTAAAATTTCTTCTTTATAAGAGAAAGTTAAGCAGAGCCGTTTGGCAAACTTCGTGCTCTTATTGCCAAATTTGCGGCCCCTATTGGCCTGTTAAAATGTTTGGAAAATGTCATGCTTTTCACATTGATAAATTTCTGCAAGTAATAAAATGCAGATTTCAGAGCAGTTTGACCTTGCGACAGTTTAAATATTTCCAGAAGCTCTTTTGTGGAAGTAATCACAGCGGAAAGTTGTGTCAGTGTCATATTTACAAGCCTTTCCTTCAGAATTTTTTTTTTTAAATTATTTTAACATATTTATAAAATCTTAAAAAATGAAATATAGGGAAACTGACTTTTCAGTAAATAAATAATTAAACAAATGATTGAAAATAAAACATTAAATTAACGTCGTTAGTAAATTATTTGCTAATGAAATACAATATGTTTTAATTAAAAAATAAAATAAAATAAATAAGTTTATTTGCAGCAGTAATTTTATAAATAAAATCTACGTTTTACGGATAGATTTAGCTTAATTGGACAATAGGTTTATTGTACTTTTTAAACCACGCTGATAAACATAACTGTTGAGTAATTATGTTGAGTATCAAATTTAAGGTTTACTTAATAGATTAAATTTGATGATTGTGAAAGCAATTTAACCACGTGCAACCATACAGATTTGTACGTGTGTGTGTGTTTTATGGTTCTTTGTATGGATTAAAATGCTTAATAGGCTGTGTAAAAATAGGCTGTGTTTTTATGACAACATCATCAGGCACTATTTTAGTAGATGAAATCTGGATTTGGATGATATTATATGTAGGATATTATTTGCAAGTTACTGTGTCAAGGATGTGTAGGATATTATTTACTAGTTACTGTTTCAAATTCTACACTTGCTAGTTTTTTTTTTTTTGTTTATTATATATATATATATATATATATATATATATATATATATATATATATATATATATATAATTATGTTTTATCTTATTTAACAATTTAAAACTTTTAACACAAGGTGCCGAGAATTTTGCTCGGCGATGAGACTCCAGACCACGTACAGTGCCGTCAAGCCCCTCATGACACCTGCGCGCGATTAACTGACAACAATAATCTCAAAATTAAATAAGCATCTTTAAGCGTTTCATCACAATCTAAACGTTCATGCTATTTATTTTATTTATCGTTTTTAATAATTTTGTACTGAATAACAAGAATGAACATAGCTACTTTAGTATATATGTTGTATTTTTATTATAGCACATTGCATTTGATATGTAAAGTGTAGCATTCATTGGTATACGTCTTATATGAGGCATGCTTCTTTTGTCTAAATTATTTTGTGGTTTAAGTTCTTAAGTTCTTTTCTTTACTCATTTTATTTTACTTTACTGTTCCTTCTGCATTTTATAGGAATTGAGAATCTGTATTTAAATTTGCATTATAGCTACTGTTTGACCCAGAAATTAATTAACTAAAATGTGAAAGTCAGATGTGTAAATTGTCTCATGTTATTTAATGCAATATATAATTTGTTGTGTGCTGTATAATTAATCCATTATTATCTGGTTACTTGTGAATGTGGATGACATGAACAAATAGAATAGATAATAGGATCTATATTCTCGCTTACATCTAAAAGTTACCTCCTATGATAAAAGTCATGCATTTTAACTGCTTTCAGTTAATGTTGTTATATATTGAAATCAATTTGAATTGAAAAATTAGAATTTTTAAATTTGTGTTGCTTTATAAGACATCGACCTCAGTGAGAGAGAGAAAAAAATTCACATTACTATTACTATTATACAACTTAATATCATAGCAAATCAAAGAAGGTAGAATTTGTTCAAAATATACTTTTTTTTAAATAATCTTTTTTTTTTCTGAAGTAAATTATATTAAATTAAATAAATGTATTTATTTAAATCTATATTTAAAACATAATTTTCAGGGGAGCTTAAAACAATTATTTAAATGTGCTTGCTGTTATAGTTCAGAATGCATCAATGACTTCATAAAAATGTAGAATGTTTGTAATGATAAAAAATTAACAAAATATTTCTTTGAGTTAAGTAAACGGGTGTAATTTGTGAAAACAGTATATTCACCATTAATTATTTATCCTCAATCTTGAGCAGAGTAGACTGGACAAAAAGGAGTTCATTTTTTTCAGAGACATATGCATGAGTACACTGAAGAACAGAACCAGATGTTAGCAGGCCACTCCTGCCAGCCACCTCCCTTGCCTGCTATACTAAGTGTCAATGGCTAATATTAACAAGTATATATGACATATGATTAAACTCCATGTCATAACGACCCCTCCTCCATTTCACCGATGTGTATAAATTCACTTCAGGGTGCTTTAGCATCATAAAGCAGTTCTGCCTGCTTTAGATACATGTGGGAATAAGATTATAAATGGTGACACTGACATGCTAATTTGGGTTTGATTAGCGCTGTGCTTGTCCAAACTATTTAGGAATCAATATAGATAGGAAATCTATGTTTTGCGTCAAAGCCAATACAAGATAGCTATCTTAGAGGTCCTCTGTATTTTTTTTTTAAATGCAGTGTTTTGTGGTGTAAGTCTGGCAAACTTTCAAAAGCCAGATTGGGCATATAGCATTTAAGTTTTGTTATTTGTTGTTATTTGTCTATTCGATAAACAAACTCCTTACTCTAATGTCAGATTTGTAACAGATTAAACTTTCAGAAAGAGATCAAGGTGAAAAATGCAGTTTATTTTCCTCAATGTATCTAATGTATTTTTCTGTTTAGCATTTTTTTTTTCTCTAACAAGCTGCACTTGATCCAAAGACGGCCATAAATCTTTATGGGCTTCTGCTTATCGATACTTCCACTTACTTTCCTGTTTATAAGCTAATGATTTTGAAAAAATTTCTCAATTTGAGAATGTGAATTTGAGATTTTTTAATTTGAAAATTTGTATTTGTTTGACATCAAATAAAGAGGATACAAAGAGTCTTAAAGAGGAAAATGAACAAGTGGAAACCAATAATTGGGGAATGATGTGATACTCCTGAGTTGTGGGATATGTTGGAGCGCAGACAATGGATGAGAGGTTGAGCTGTTGTGGAAAAGTAGAGGCCCATCAAAAGTTTTAGTCTATATTTGTGTCTCAGTGGAGGGGGTCTCTAGCTTTGTAAGGAGGTTGCTCTCAAGCTTGCTCTCTTTCTTTTTTTTCTCACCTCTTTTAAATCCCCAGGCCCAGTCATCCCTTCAGGGCATGCCTCAGATCTGCCTCTGTGTCAGGACGACCCCTTCCTTCTCTGATATTCTTTTTCTCCTTTCTTTTTGATTTATCTACATTTTTACCACTTCACACTAAATATATATATATATATATATATATATATATATATATATATATATATATATATATATATATATATATATATATATATATATATATATATACATACATACATACATACATACATACATACAGTAAATTCACTGCTAATTTCTCATTCACATTCTGCCTGCAGGCAGTGACAGAAATGATGATGTTTGTATAAGAGTGACAGTTTGTTTTCATTGGCAGAGCTGGCTGCTAAACATTGCCCTGCCAATTAACCTGGCCGTTTTAGAGAAGTATTAGTAGAGAAGTATATTTTTTTTCTCAAAAAAGGGGGTAAGAAGTTCTTTTGCCATCCGAATCATCAAACTGCCTGTAAACCTGTGTGTGAAGACAAGGGAAATTTAAGTATATATTACATTTCATACACAATGGCAAATTGAAAGTGCAAAATTTTTTATGTTATAATTTACTTTTTTTTTTTTTGCTGGAGTGGTTATATCTGAAATGATTTGCACACAAAGCCAGAGCTTTCCCTATCAAATCTTTTTCACACACACAGTGTGTGTGTGTGTGTGTGTGTGTGTGTGTGTGTGTGTGTGTGTGTGTGTGTGTGTGTGTGTGTGTGTGTGTGTATATATATATATATATATATATATATATATATATATATATATATACACACATATATACACATATATACACATACACACAGTGTGTGTGTGTGTGTGTGTGTGTGTGTGCGCGTACACTACGTGATGTTGGTGTAGGAAAACATTTCCAGACTTCTCCTCCATAACACCCCAAAGTCGAATTGGTGACTGTGCAGTCCATGGGATATGTTCAACTTCACTTTCATGTTCATAAAACCACTATGTCACCAGTCTTGCTGTGTGTATTGGTGCATTATTATCCTTATACTCCGCACAGCCTTCAGGATACAATGTTTGAACTATTAGGTGCATATGGCCCTCCAGAATTGTTTGGTAGTGTTTGCCGGTGACTCGCCCATACAGCACAATTATTGGGCCTAGGCAATGCCATGATATTGCACTCCAAACATCACTGATCCAACCCCATTCTTCAGTATGTGCATGCAACAGGCTGTGTGGTACAATTCTTTGGGGCTTCTCCACACCGTAACACTCCTAGATGTGGGGAAGATAGTAAAGGTGGACACATGAAAAAAAACAATACATCTTTCCCATTGTCCACAGATGAAGATTTCAGCTGCTAGCTGGATTTGTTTAGGTGCACATTCAATTCTGTAGTATGTTGGCCAGCTGTGGTTATGTTTTTTGCATGCAATCCTGTTTAACACTTAGGCATCTCTTTTAGACAACTTCCTCTTGCGTCTACTCCACAGTAACTTCTGTTGAATGTGATTTGTCCTCCTTGGTGGTATGTTAGCATTATTCTGAATACTATAGCTCTTGATGCACAAGTGAGTCGTGCACCAACAATTTGTTCTCATTTTGTTCTCATTTGAACTCTGATGTGTCACCCTTAATCTTGAGTACC